GTGTGTGTGAATACACCTCACATAGACAGGACGGGGAAACTAGAAGCGAGTTCACACCATACATCTATGTGTGTACAATGAATGTGCATGTGCATTTGAGTTTGGAAAAAATTCAGAAGGTTATCTATGGAAAACTTTTTTACAGTCAAATAATTACTTTTTAGGATATAGAAACCCCATCTCTTGGTCTGGAATTTTTCAGATAAAAAGACCATGTCTATCTAAAATTGTAAAGACAAGAGTGCTGTCCAAGCACAGGTGCTATTACTTCAGCCCTAGTTTGAACTATTGCTAGTTCAGGCCTCAGAAGTATGCTCTGCAGGGGTGTAAGCTCCATAACAGCAGCCCTGTAACACAGTCATCTTTGTCCCTCACCATGTACAGCAAACAAATGCTTTCCAAACAAAATTCAGAAGTAGATTAAAGCACTGCTATTTCAAGGTCAAGCCTATTATTTATCCTTAGGTTGGAGTTTTTTCTCATCTCACAACTTCCAACAACCCAGCCATGGAATAGTCTTCCTATTCACATGCTGAAAATGATTCACTTCTTCTCTTTCCCACACAAATACCACTGACTTGGGGTGAAAACCTCTGCATCCTGACTCAAAATGAGAATAGGCTGCTGTATGGATCCTAAAGTCCCATATTTCAATGAGAAAGATTTACATCTCACCATCTTAAGATTCACTTAGACTCAAGCACAGATCAGCAGACATTCCAACTGTGAGTTCACAAAAAGCAATTAATTATGTGTGGGAGGACCTGGATTCCAGTCCTGGCCCTGCTATTTAACAACTACATGGCTGTGGTGGGCAAGTCATTCCACCTCTGACAACTACAATTTATTTTATCTGTACAATGAGGGTAAAAATAATAATAATAATAATACACTACCTAACTCATAGAGTTACTGTGAAAATCAAAGGAGATAAAATGGGCAAGGATATTTTTAAACTATAAATGGCTATACTTACATATTATTTTCTTTATTATAATAAATGGTTCAGGCTCCAGGGCTTAATAAGGCAAGGAAGACAATATGGTAAATAAATTCTAGTTCTAGTCCCTGTGCTGCCAACAACTCAGACTGAGGCGGAGCCCCCACAGTGCTATATTCTTTACCTGGCTTCCTCCCCTACAGTGTTATATTGAAAAATCGTTTCCTTTGCTGGGTTCCCCTCACTCAGCTTTGCATTTGAATTCTGCTTTTGCTAGGAGGTTATATGTAAACCCCATTGCACCTAGGTAGTATGATTAACAATGTTGCTGATGTAACTTGCATGAACTCCCTACTTATAAACCCCTTTAAAAGTAACTTGCCTGCCCGCCCTTGGCGAGCAGTCTTGGCAGCAGCAGCTCTGCCTGACTCCTTTTCCTTGTAAAACGAAATAAAGGTATTTTTCCTGTTCTCCCATCTTGGTCTCTCATTTATTGGCCAATATGAGTCATGCCAAGCAAGAGCCTGGGTTTTCCACCTGGTAACAAGACCTTAACCCCTCTGAATCTCTGCACCCTTACTGAAAATTAAATGATTTAAAGAGTGTAGTAACACACATACTAACTGTATGTATTTGGCCCAGTCCAGTTGTGAAGGCAAACTGAAACCCCTTGCCTTTGAGTCGATTCTGACTCATAGGAACCCTATAGGGCAGAGTAGAACTGCCTGTAGGATTTCCAAGGCTGTAATCTTTATGAAAGCAGACTTTTACATCTTTTTTCCATGGTAAGGCTAGTGGATTTGAATTGCCAACCTTTTGGTTAGCAGCAGAGTGCTTAACCACTGCGCCATCAGGGCTCCTAGCTGAGAAGCACTCTCAGGATTATTCTCTATCTAGCTATAATCTATGTTGGTATTCATTCCACAGTCTTTTATTGCATGATTTCTATGTGCTAAACACTGTGCTAGGAAATCTATATGTATTTTTTCTCTTTTAATCCTTACAAACAATCTATGAGCTAGGTAATAATATTGCCATTTCACAGATTTGTGAAACTGTGTACAAAAATATTAAATACATTCTGACAGGGACACAAAAGAAGGTACCAGTCAGAATGAGAGAAAAATGTAGAACAAAATTTAAATTCCTAAAAAAGGCCAGACCTACTGGACTGATAAGAGACTAGAGGAACCCTGGCAACTATAGTCCTAAGATACCTTTGAACTTGGTACTGAAGCTACTCCTGGAGGTCACCTTTCAGCCAAATAATAAAATGGCTTATAAAATAAACAATATCACCCATGAGTAATGTGCCCCCTTAAAAATCAACTATATAAGACCAAACAGTCAACATTTACCCAAAAGCAAAGATGACAAAGCAAGGAGGTGCAGGGAAGCTAGATCAAATGGAAAAACAACAAACAGAATGGAAATAAGGAGAATGCTGACACATTGTGAAAATTGTAACCAATGTCATGGAACAATCTGTATAAAAATTGTTAAATAGGAACCTAATTTGTTGTGTAAACTTTCACCCAAAACACAAAATATTTTTTAAAAATATTAAATAACTTTTCCAGGATCACATCGCAGCATGTGCAAGAAGCCGGAGGATCATTACGACATATCTTCCTAGATAACACTTTTATTTCACATTATACCATTGAAGTGTGTCATTCATATTTGTTTTAATGCAAAACTAATATGGGTAAGATGTAAAATTCATATACACTTAAGAAAGAAAATATAAAATTTCAAAGAAATTTTGGACTTTTGGCAGGCAGCTTTGGGGCCAAGTCCTTGGGCTATTGGAGGATTTATGGTCACTCTGGTCTGCCTAGAGTTACTTCAGTCTGGGGGCATTGCCCCAACACAGAAGTTTCTGTCTCTGGTTTGCTGGATCTAACTAATCACAATCTAAAGAACGCATTCTATAAATAACCGGTCATCACAGCAGGGTTTATATTATGACGTTTTCCGAAAGTTCTTATCACTCAAGATACTAAATTGGTTGTGTTTCAGTAGAAAAGATAAGACTATTATCTTTTACTCAGTAACACTTTGGAAACAAGGATTAGTCACCATTAAACAGGTTTGCTTTCTTTTACCTAATTCATAAGTCTCCTCCTGGTGTTGACCTTTCCATTTACCTAAAGAGGATCCTCTTCCCAAGCTTCCTCCAATGGGGCTGGGGATGCTGCTTTTGTTTGGCAGATTTACTGGGCTGGTTTTGCTGGCTGGGAAGAGGCTCTGGGTGGGCGATGTCGGGGACTTTACAGGCTCGGCTGTCTTGGGTCGGGATGAAAGATTCAGTGGCTGTGCTGCTGCTTCATCCTACAAGAGTTTAACATAAATAATTATTTAAAAAAAGAAAGACAAATGAAGCACATTATCACTTAGTAAGCCACAGTTATTTTACACCTCAGAGACAATGCCACATTCTCCTACAATAATAACAAAAGAAGCTAATTATCTACCTCCTTGAAGATTCATCGGAAGGAAACCTCATTAATTTCCCTGTGTTATGCTTCTATTTACATTAACTGTGTAGTTGGAGCATTCTTTTTGCCAAATTAAAATGTGAATTAGCTCACATTACAGCTTAATTTCCTAATGTGTTTTCAGGGATCTAAATTAACCTAGGGCATTTACAAAGAATTATTTAAAATTTCAGCAGCTCTGTAGTGCTTTTGTGTTATTCTCTCTGAAAAGTTCCTGGAACTATAAATAGGCTCTGCAGCTAATTTTTTAATATATATTTTAAATCAAACAATTGCAAGTACTTTAAAAATGGAAACACGGAAAGCCTTCTTCTGATCTCCTGGGCCCCTGCCCAGAAAGCCGCATGCCACAGCACGGCTTCTATGTGGCTTTCTGGGTTGGGCACCCTTTATGGTCTATATTCTGGTCTCTATTTATGTTTAAAATTAATTTTTGCGAAAGGAAAGCACACGTTATAATTACATTTTACATACCATGCTATATGCAATTTATTTTTCATGTTTAAAGTGATGTTTCTTCATATTCTTTGTTACATATATTTACCGAATGTCTATTTTAAGACAGCATGTCCTTCTTCACTGAGCACAGTATTCAAATATCTGGCTTGTAACTCTAGTTTAGCCAGGAGCTTGAAAGCTAAGCTCCTAGCCTTTATTTTGTCTCATTTCTCCTACTATAAAACACCCATAACAACACTTCTCTCATTCTAGAAATTCAGTTGTAATATAAGCATATTCATTTCAATGTTCAGTTTTAAGATCGGCATTATTACGCTCTAAAATAAAATTGCCAGCAAATATCAACTCCCGTTTTGCTTCTGAGAAGTCGCAGAGAACTTGCTTTCAATGTCATTGTCTGAAACACACAGTAGAGCTTGGAAACAGTACATTCTCCCCCTTGGTACACGTCAGACCTAGCTGGGGCTCAATTTCTTCATCTGTAAAATCACGGCCTGATACTAGACGATCTCTAAAATCTCTTCCAGTACTAAGGACCATTGATAAATAGGGAACAAAAAGGGAGCCAGAAAATAGTAGAGAAGGCGGATTGGAAAGAGAAAATAAAAATAAAATGCAGAGAGGGACCATTATGTACCAAGCCCTGTGCTCAGCATTTTAACATACATCAGCTCATTTAACCATCAGTAACTATGAGGTTGGCAGTATTATTCTAAATTTACAAATGAGAAAATGATAAAATCACTGTCCAAAGCCATACAGGTAGTAAATGGAGGGGCAGAATTTCAATTCCAGTTTATTGGACTCCAAATATCAGGTCCCTTTTCTACTAAACTGCCAGAGAAAATAAGTCATTTGTTTGATAATGTAATCATGCCCTAGATATTATTTGGTCTAGGTAAGAAATAGGCTATCTGGTACACCTATGTTTCAATGCACTATTATCTATATCTAGACATAGGACAGGTTCTCAAGAAACAGTTATATCAATTATACCCATTGCCCATTGCCGTCGAGTTGATTCTGACTCAAAGTGACCCTATAGGACAGGGGAGAACTGCCCCATACGGTTTCCAAGCAGCGCCTGGTGGATTTGCACTGCCAACCTTTTGGTTAGCAGCTGTAGCACTTAACTACTATACCACCAGGGTTTCCACATCAATTATAGATGTCAAATTACCTACTCTTGTGTTTAATTGTAAGTTAGTCCCATTTCTCTAAATGCAAAGGATATTTCTACTAGTTAGTTCCTTCACTCATATCTAAACAATGATACTTATTTATATGTTAGGTATTTAGTTTTCTCTGTATTTCTTCTATCTGAGGTTCATTAAGTTTCTAAGATATCTGGGTTTAGAGTTTTCATCAAATTTGGAAAATTTTCAGCCATTACTTGTTCAAAAATGTTTTTCTCTGTTCCTTCCTCCTCCTTCTGAGGCCCCAATTATGTGTATTAGGCCACTTGATATTGTCCAACAGTATTGACCAGTCCTTTTATCTCTATGTGTTTCATTTTGAATAGTTTTATTGCTACATCTTTACATTCACTAATCTTTTTATGTGTAATGTCTAATCTGTTGTTAATCTCATCCAGTGTATTTTCATCTCAAGCATTGTGTTTTTCCATCTCTCAAGTTCAATTTAGGTCTCTTATGCCTTGCTTATCATCATCATGTTTTCCTCTACCTTCCTGAACATAGGGAGTATATAGCAACTGCTTTTTTTTTTTTTTCAGTTTTGAATATGACGTTATTTATTTGTATAATTCAATGATTGTCACTTCCACCAGCGATGCCACTGGGACTGGGCATGGGCATCACCTACCAGCTGCCAATCAAGTGAATTCCCTTCCACCATGGCAGGGTAGCTGTTGCTCTTCACAGGCTGCCCTGGCCTGACAGAAATTTTGTGCAAACCCAGTCTCAGGTTTGGAGGAATAGGAACAGCCCTAAGTAAGAATGCGGTAGACTCCCACTTTTCTTACATAAAAGAAGCATAAATGTTTCTCAGATTATTGTATGTCTTTGGTCAATTTCCAGAGCACTGAAACAGTGTTTTTATCAATTTTTTCCAGTTTTATAGGTGCTATTTTCAGATTTGCCTACCTTCTCACTTGGCTATAGCCAGAAGTCTCCTATAATAGCTGTTTTGACTATCTTTACTAATTGTATCAACTGTGTTATTTTGGAGTCTGTTTCTACTGATTATTATTGTTCATATTTTCCTGCTTCTTTGCAAGCCTGGCAATTATTGAATGGATGCCACATACTGTGAATTTTACACTGTTGGGTGGAGTTTTACATATTCTTTTAAATATTTGTGGACTTTGTCAATGCAGAACAATTTGATCCTTTCTAGGAGCCTCGGTGATACAAGCAGTTTGAGATCGCCTGCTAACCTAAAGGTTGGCGGTTCAAACTCACCCAGCAGCTCTGCAGAGGAGAAGGCCTGGGAACAGCTTCTGTAAAGATGACATCCAAGAAAAATCTATGGAGCAGTTCTGCTCTGTAACACATGGGGTCACCATGAATCGGGAACTAACTCTACAGCAGCTTTCAACAACAAAACAGGCTTACTTTTAAGTTTTGTTATGTACGTCCAGAATAATTATTGGTCTAAGGCTAATTTGGTTTCACCACTGAGGTAATACCCTTCTGGAAACTCTACTTGATGCTCAAATATCAGGAGATCTTTCTAGTCTGGTTAATAGGAATAAAAACTATTTCCAGTCATTTGTGAATTTTGCAATTGTTTTGCCTGCTACATTCTAGTGTTTGTTCTCTGGCCTCAGCTAGTTGCCTCATATGCAGGTGTGGATCAATATTCAGCTAAAGACTCAGGAAATCTTCCACAGATCTTCAGCAATCTCCTTCTCTCTGTGCAGTTCTCTCCTCTCTGGTATTCTGCCTCACAGATTGCATCCACTCAGCATCCCTAAACTCTGAACAGTGTTTCTTCTATTCAGGAACACTGTCAAGCTCTACATGGGTACACTCCCTGCACTGTTGCCTGAAAACTCCCAACAGACAACAAGCTGCAAAAACTGTAGCGCTCACTTCATTTGTTTCCCTTCTCTCAGGTATCACTGTCCTGTTGTCAAGTGTCTGAAAACCAACTCCTTATATGTTCTGTACTGAGTTTTAGTTGTTTAAGCCAGTAGGGTAAATCTGATCTCTTCCTCCATTATGATTGAAAGTGGAAGTCCCTTAGGTGTTAGTTAGGATCTCTCTCAGTACACTATTATATATTTCAATCACAACCACCATTACCACCACTGCCACATCCTTTATTATCATCATCGTCACCATCACTACCACTAACATTTATGGCATAATCGCTATATGCTTTGGGGTATATTATCTCATTTAAGACACATAATATTAACTCTGCCTTTACAGAGGAGAAAACTAAGGCTGAAAGAATTAAATAACTTGCCCAAGATGGCACAGCTAGTAAAAGTGGTACAACTGGAATTTGAGCAGAGGCATTTGACTTCTGATTTTGACATTTATAGTAGTTAAAAATTCTGGGGGAAAAAGGAACATAGGACCAACCACGCTTATTTTTGTTTTCTTCAGCCAACTATGCCCTACGTAATGTTTGAATTTCTTTTTTTTTAATTTTTTTTTCCCATACAAAAATTTATACATACATTGTTATGTGACCCTAATTGCTCTCTCCATACTGTGACAGGACACTCCTCCTTTCCACCCCTGATTCCCCATGTCCATTCAACCAGCTCCTAACCCTCTCTGCCTTCCCATCTCACCTCTGGACAGAAGCTGCCCGTTTAGACTCTTGTATTTACTTGAGCTAAGAGGCACACTCCTCACGAGTATCACTTTATGTCCCACAGTCCAGTCCAATCCCTGTATGAAGAGTTGGTCCCGGAAATTGTTTTAGTTCTGGGCTGATAGAGAATCCGGGGGCCATGCTTTCCAGGGTTCTTCCAGTCTCAGTCAGACCATTAAGTCTGGTCTTCTTACGAGAATTTGAGTTCTGCACCCCACCTTTCTCCTGCTCCATCTGGGACTCCCTGTTCTGTTCCCTGTCAGGGCAGTCACTGGTGGTAGCCAGGCACCATCTAGTTCTTCTGGTCTCAGGCTGATGAAGTCTCTGGTTTATGTGGCCCTTTCTGTCTTCTGGGCCAACACTTTCCCTGTGTCTTTGGTATTCTTCATTCTCCTTTACTCCAGGTGGTTGGGACCAACTGATGCATCTTAGATGGCTGCTTGCAAGCCTTTAAGACCCCAGACACCACTCACCGAAGTAGAATGCAGAACATTTTCTTAATAAGCTTTGTTATGCCAATTTACATAGATGTCCCCTGAAAGCATGGTCCCCAGACCCCTACCCCTGCTACTCTGTCCCTCAAAGTGTGTAATTGTATTCAGGAAACTTCTTAGCTTTGGTTAGTCCAGTTGTGCTGACTTCCCCTGTAGTGTGTGCTGACCTTCCCTTCACCTGTAATGTTTGAATTTAAAATGAGTGGTCATGTTACATACAGAGGTAAAGCAATGAGTACAGAGGGAAACCCGAGAGATTTTGGTGACCATAATTCTTTCAATTAATAGACTATGAGATTATTCTCAGAACTTTGTCAATAATAGGCAGGAGATATTATTTGTTTTTATTTAAAACATTTACTTTGTGTCTTGGTCTATATGTTTTTACCCACACATACAATAAACAATCTAGTGAGTATAAGAAACGTTTCTTTTGATATTAACATAAAAATAAGTCAAGTCAAATTATATATAGCATTCCCTAAGAATCTGCATGTGGTCAAGTGAGTAATAAAATTCAGCTGGACCACAAAGCTGGAATGGTAAAAGCAGATATAAACTTGAATTTAACCAGGGAACATTTTACTCATCCAGTAAAGACTTGGTTTGGTACAGTTCCATTTGGCCAACTCACTTATAAAATTACTTTTTCATGTTAAAATATTTAATACTCAATAGCTCAAGTCACTGATGTTTGATATGCTCAGACTTAACAACTGTGATTAAACAAAATGCCTTGGTTTGAGTTATAGTATTCTGACCCTTTTTCACAAACTATTTGGAACACAAAATAGATAGGGTTATTTCCATAAGGAATACTGTCTTATGAAATACACACTGTCTTTGTCATATCTCAATATTTCTAACAACAAAACATTTCATCTATTTCTTTGGAGACTCTAAAAGCATCAATGGCATTAAATTAAGTCCTTTGGGTAGCAGCAGAAACAGAACTATCTCTCTTAATGCTGTTCACTTTTTTTGATCTTCAGTATTTAGGATCCATATTTTTAAAAGGCTTTTTAAAATCTCAAAATTCCTATCTGCAAATTTTCAGAAATAAGACAATTCCATTGGTTTTATAGTACCAATGCTGAGTTTTGTTTCCTACACGAAGATCTAATAATTGCAAAATTTCTCCAAATGCAGTACTTCTGGCATGTTACAATGAAATAGGTCTGTGCTTAGCATACCCCTCTAAGTAGATAAGTCAATTTATTCAAAAATATCGTTTCTTTGAACTGTTTGAATTTAATAATTTAACATAGGAAACAAAAAAACAAACCCATTGCCATCGAGTGGATTCCAACTCAGAGCAAATCTACAGGACAGAGTACAACTGCCCCATAGGGTTTCCAAGGAGTGGCTGGTGGATTCACACTGCTGACCTTTTGGGTTAGCAGCCAAGCTTTTAACCATTGTGCCACCAGGGCTCCTAGGAAACAAAGGCAATCATAAAAAACAACTGATACCACCTATAGGCACCAGCTGCAGCACAAAGTTGGAGTGGTACCTCAATTTCCGTCTGTTACCAAGTGCCTCCTAGTTGTCTAGTCTCAAAACACTGAAAATAAACGAAGAAAGGCATTTATTAATGCCCTACCCCTAACTTGGGAGAGCCTGTTTATCCTATCACAACTGTGTATCATCAAAAGCATGACTAGACTAGGTAATGACACCACTCATTCCTCAGAGCCCACATTTATAAATATTCTTAAGGAGAGGCCTTCATCCACAAACTATATAAAAAGTCCTGCACTGGATTCCTTCTTGCCACCTTTTTTAAATCTAAGGTTTTGAGATTCTCCATCTCTGGTGCTGTAAGTTGGCTCTCTACCTGTTTAAAGAACATGGAGAGAAGTGTCATATGTCTATGACAAAGAGTAGTGATAAAACCACAGCCACTTATGCCAATGTACATTAAAAAATAAAGGCCAGAATCCAAAGGGAAAAAAACTCTTGAGAAGTGAGTTTGCCAATTTAGGTAAAGATCTCAGAATATGGCACTATTGTTATCAAAAGGGAAACACCTGTTTCTCAATGCTCAATCATGAAATTTACCATAAAGAGGAGTATTTCGGGGTTCCTTTATGTTGCTATGCTTCCTGCTGTTTATTCCCAACACAGACCAGTTCACTACATTTCTTGTGATGCTATTTTCCAAACTGTTTTCACAATCCTGCAAAGCAAGTACCTTAACTTGAGTTACAGGGCTGGTCCCTCTCTTTTCATTTTTTATCCCAGTAGGTGAGACTGCCCCTGCTGTGTTTGGTGGCTGTGGAGTTGATGACATCTTTGCTCCAGGTGACACCTGCATGCTGGCCAGCTGAGCGGCATAGAGCTGCTGCAAAACAGAGAAGACAAACATTGATCTCTTTAAATGCAGCTGAAATGGGGTTTCAAAAAACTTACCATATTGTTAGATAATTATTTCTCTGACAGTCTTGCAATTTGTTCTCTTTCACTGTTTTTTTAAGATGAAAATAAGAGAGACCAGGTAATACAAAAGAGAGAAAGAATAATGGAATAGGAGCCGTTGTTCTGTTCCTGATTCTTCTAGAAACGACTTTATGACCCTAGACAAAGGACCTTGTCTCTCTAGAACTCAGCTTCTTCACTGTACAAAAAGGAATTTGACTAAATGGTCTTTAAAAATTCTTTTTGGTGCCTATGTCTTTATAAAAAAATGCTTTAAATTTTTTTGTTATGACCATTTATGACATTTTAATACTCATGACCTAAGAAACTACTCTGAACTTTTCTAGGGACTCCTGGAAGAACCATATCTTTCATATTTAGTACCAGCCAAGCTTCCCTCAGGAAGCTGATCCTTCTGCATCATAAGAGTGCTGACCCCCAAGATCCCTGGGACCCAAAGGCAGTCACTCATTTCTCAGGACCTTATTTCTAGGCAGCATATAACACAATTCTCAAGAGAATATGGCCAGATTTTGGCGGGGGGTGGGGTGGGGTGGGGGTGGGAATCAAGGTTCTTTTTCCCAACACAGGAGCTGCCTACTTAATTCTCAACCCAAACCAGATGACAAAGTGCTGTCTTTACATCCAAGAGCAGATTACCGTGGTTTCTCTTTAACAAACCAATGATCTTCTTACTCATTCTATCTGCTCAGCTTTAAAGGGCTTCTCTTCCCTGAGAAATGATAAGCAGGCAACCTGACATTATATATCTTAAAATTATCAACCCCAAAATATGTCAACTTATCTGAATTATGGTCAAAGATTGACAGACAAGTGAGCCACCCTCTTTTTATATAATTTTAATTTTTATCAAAATAATTCTTGTATGTAGTTTCATAGGTGTTTAATAGTATTGTAAGCTTAAAAATAAATAAAAAACAAAACAACAACAAAACTAGTATGGTCAGCATGGACAGTGCATAACTTCAATAGCAAGTCATGATGGCCCTGGTTTCCAGGCCCCTTCCTCCCTACCTCACTCCCTGCTCTGTGGAAACAACCCCGTTAAATTCATTTAACTGTTTTTACTGGTATCTATCTCCCTATTTATAAATGCTATTTATAAATACTATTAATTTAATAAATGGTATTTATTAAATACTATTATATCCTGATCTACTGGCTTCCTACAACAGAAGATGAAAATTTAGCTTTCTTACCTCACCATGCACCTCCCATGCTTCCCTCCCCAGTCTCTTAATGTTAGTATCACAAATTTTTAAATGAAATAGTGTTTACTATTGTCATGGATTGAATTGTGTCCCCCAAAAATATCTGTCAACTTGGCTAGGTCATGATTCCCAGTATTATATGATTGTCTACCATTTTGTAATCTGATGTGATTTCCCTTATGTGTTGTATATTCTATCACTATGATGTAACAAGATGGATTAGTGGCAGTTATATTGATGAGGTCTACAAGATTAGATCGTTTCTTAAGCCAGTCTCTTTAGAGATATAAAAGAGAGAAGCAAGCAGAGAGACAGGGGGGAGGACCTCATACCACCAAGAAAGCAGCGCCGGGAGCAGAGCGCATCCTTTGGACCTGAGGTTTCTATGCTGAGATGCTCCCAGGCCAAGGGAAGATTGATGACAAGGACCTTCCTCTAGAGCCAACAGAGAAGAGAAAGCCTTCCCCTGGAGCTGACAGCCTGAATTTGGTCTTGTAGCCTACTGGACTGTAAGAGAATAAATTTCTCTTTGTTAAAGCCATCCACTTGTGGTACTTCTGTTATAGCAGCACTAGATGACTAAGACAACTATTTTATATTATTCTGCAAATATACTATTCACAGTTGAAGACTTAGTGAATTATAATTTTCTTTCTTTCTCAACTTTTTTATTTTGTTGGATTTAATATTTGCCTCATTTTTTGTTTGCTTAATTTTTTTACATAACTATCATTAATTCTCAAACTCTCCAAGAGAACTCTAAAACTACCCAATGTGACTGAAAATACTAGGTAATCTGTGCATCACATCCCCCCTGGGCTTTGGAAACATTCTTCTGTCTTCATTTCCCTGCTCCAATCTGAACTGGCTTATCCTTTAGAACTATTGCAAATTGTGGTACTTGGAATATCTTTTTCCTTTCCTGTACTGGAATCCTTGTTTCATGGATACCATTTTGTTCTCTCTGTTGGTTAACTTTGTCTTTTTGGTAAAGCATGTCCCCCAGGAGTTTCCTGCATGTGAGGTTAATTTGTCAAGAACTGACATTTCTGAAAAAATATTACATCCATCACACTTGATTGAAGTTTGACAGCTATAGAATTCTAAGTTGAAAATCATTCTTCCTAAAAATTTTCAAGATATTTACTTATTGCCTTCTTATTCTTGTTATTACGGGAGTCTGATGTCATTCTGAAGCCTTGGTGTCACAGTAGTTAAGAGCTTGGCTGCTAACCAAAAGGTTGGCAGTTCGAATCCACCAGCTGCTCTTTGGAAACCCTATGGGGCAGTTCTACTCTGTCCTATAGGGTCGCTATGAGTCGGAATCTACTCGACGGCAACGGGTTTGGTTTTTTTGGATGTCGTTCTGCCTCCTGACCCTTTGTACATAATCTATTTTCTCTTTCTGAAAGCACTTAAGGTCTTCCCTTTGTACTCAGGGTTCTGAAATTTCACTACAACGTCCCTCTATTGACTCTTTTACATTAATTGTTCTGGGCACTCAGTCAGCCTTTTAATTGGAAACTCATGTCCTTCAATTTTAGGAAATGTTTTAGTGTTTTTCACTGACACATTTTCTCCCCTTTGTTCCCCTTCTTGAACTCACATCAGATAAATGTTGGACTTCCTTACTGAGCTCTAATTTTCATATTTTTCCTCCTATTTGCCATCTCTTTGGTCCTTTGTTATACTCTATGATAATTTTTTTCCATTTTATCTTCCAACCCTTCTATGAATTTTTTTTAACTTCTATTATAATTTTAAGGGCACTTTCTTATTTTCTGATTATTTCTTTTTATAGCATCCTGTTCTCTTTTCCTTCATAATGCTAATTTTAGGTTTGGGGTTTGTTTTTAATATTTTTCTGTTCTGTGCATTGCTGTCTCTCTTCTAAGATTTTTGAGCTCTTTCATATTAGAGGCTTTTCTAAAGTATCTGGTGTGCCTTGACTATTTAATACATATATAATCATAAAAAACAAAAAAACATTGCTGTCGAGTCAAGTCTGACTCATAGTGACCCTACAGGACAGAGCAGAACTGCCCCATAGGGTTTCTAAGGAGGGGCTGGTGGAATCGAACTGCCAACCATTTGGTTAGCAGCCGTAACTCTTAACCACTGCACCACCTATATAATCATAATGTATTCAAAAGTTGACTGGAAGATCTGAGTATATAGGTAGACTTATTGACTGGTGGGCTTCAACATAAGGTGATGATGCAGAGAGTCAGCTACTTCATTGGGGGCCCAGAAATATCAATATCTATAGGGCATTTCTTTTAGGCCTAGATCATTTTCCCAGAGCGCTATCTTCAAATTTCCGACTTGGCTGGAGTATAGGCTTGTATGCCATCATTCAGTGAGCTAAGCAGGAGAAGGCAGCTGTGGGAGCTCACTGTCTAGTTTATCATGGAGCCTCTCTGTTTCTGAAATGGCACCATCACTCACTCTCAGCTATGCTTGATGTCCCAAAGAACAAAGTTTATTAAGTTCAATTTCTCAAGAGAATAAACCTCCAGTATTCTGTTAAGTTGTGTACTGGGGAGGGGAGTGGGAGGCAGAGATGGTAGTTACCTGGATGCATTGGGCTAAGGAGGAATCTGGAGCTCTAATAGTTCCTTATATCTATTTTCAACCAATCATCCTGTCTACAGTACCACCTCTTACACCTGCCTTCAGAGGTTCAGCTCCCAACTGTGTTTGATTCTTTTAGCCTTTACACTCTTAAGGTTTAGGGGTCAATTTTCTCTGTTTTCCTAAGACAGTTACAAATCTATCCAATTCCCATCTTCCAACATTTTTTTATTTTTATCTTCTCTGGTTGTACTTGAAGGTTTACACCTATAATCCTTAAGTGTCAATTTATTAGGTTTTGGGTAAAACTGGCAACAAATGAATGTGTTAATCTGTTATGGTTAACCAGAAGTCAAATACTCCAATCTTAACACTATTTAATGCTTGAAAACTCCTTTCAATTATTTTATTTGCTTCTTATTACCAAGATTAAGCTATTACCTTGATAGTCGCATTTCTACCATAATAAATAGAAAGCTTCCTAGTTCATCAGCCACAGAGAAAACAGCTCAAACTTTGTCATATTAGTAAGAGAGAAAAAACAGGTGGTTTGTATGTAATTTCCAGCATTACTATCATTCAGATGGACAAATAAAAAAAATTACAGTAATCAAAAACAGACCTTTCAGCACATGTAATTAAATGAAAGCTTAATAAAGAATAATTTGCAAGAGCCAGATGTGCTTATGTCATGATTGTTGCTTTCTTTGGAACAATTTTTCTAATATAACAAGTCTCTAAAGAAATTAAAGTTTCATAATTTTGTATGTGCAATGACTCAGTGGCAAGAAAAATTCACAATTAAGAATCAGTCAAACTGCTAGAAGTTAGGGCAAAAAAGGGCTATCTTTTTTGTTTCTTTTTTATTTTTTTGTATCCTTTTCCTCTGAAATTCAGCCAGGTGTCTTTAAGGGGGTGCAGGTGAGGCTTATAAAAAAAAACTTGTTTGGATTAAACCAGTGAAGAAAAGTCTTATACTGAATGAAGGGGTGATGGTTGAGAGTTGAAGAAAGGTTGGCTACACAGTGGCTACTATCATGATCAACATGTCCTACTACTGAATGTCAAAGAATCATGAAATCTTAGAGTTGAGAAAGTCCTTAGACATCATTTATGCTTT